AATATAGGGAACATCGTAGTACAAATTTTTATCGAGGAATACTTTGTACCTCAACGGAATATTACAAAATGGAGCTAAATTTTTAAAACATAGCCAGCAAAGCACTAAAATGGCTTGGTTCAAATGTTTTGTTTCCCCTTAAATCATATTCCTCTCTTTTGTTTCGACCTCAACCTATCGAAAAATGTACACAACAAATTCAATTAATAAGCTTATATTAATGTTTGAGTTATTAGTTTTCTGGCTTTTCCACTCCTGATATGCCACTTGTGAATACTTTTACAAAGAATCTTTTTAGGAAATCAATTAGTTACAAGGACATCCGTATAATTAGTCAAATTAGGGATCGATTTTTCACATCTTCGCTCCTACAAGTATTTTCCTGGGTTTCCATCCTCATACCGTCAATATAATGTATAAAGTGAAGTCAATTTGCCTCTGTTTTTCTAATAATAATGTTTGTAATATGCTGACTCTGCAACTGCTACCATGTTCCATGATCAGATTCCACAGAAGTAGGCTTGTATGTTATAATTAATTAAGGTTTTTAGTTGAGATAAAAAAGTCAATGGCACGAGCGGGATTCGAAACCACGATATTCTGCTAGATACGCCGCTGCTCTACCACTTGAGCTATCGTGACCTCGATCCACTCGGACACTAACCTCCCATCTCAACCCCACCTTTTGAATTTTCCCTCCTTTTTGCCATTTTCCAATTTTTAATTAATTGTAATATATTTGGTCAAGCGGACCACGAAATTAGTGAATTTACTTGTATATTATATTGTGTTTTTGTATCTACTGATTCGCCTCCTTGTTTCCCTCATTTTCAACTTCTACTTCACACATTTGATATAAACAGCGCAGAAATTTATTCCCAGGGAATTCTATTACATAAAGACATAATGATCAGGACATCATTAATATCCGTTATAAACAAAAATCTCTGAGAATTTTGTGTCACCGTTACACCCATGTTTAAATGGTTTTATTTCGTAATCAGACTGTCTAAAAATAAACACAGAGCTCCTAATTTATTTGCATAATAGCATCGCTTTACTGATATCAAATGTTGACTGCCAATTCAGCTAAATTTCTTCTACGAGACTACGCGCCTTGCTTCCAAGTTTCCAAATTTTTACAATTCTAGCTTCGTTTCAACCGATACGATCTAAAGGTCACTGTTCATCAACTATGAAAATGTATAGAATGATCCGCGTTGCAGGTTACATAATGCTAATTATCTTAAGGTACATGCTGATTCTTCAAACTCCTGTCTGTAGAACTTATTATTATTTTCCCTAAGTACCTCTTTCCTGCATTCCAAGGGTATCGCTTCCTCGTTTCATACTTTCGATAAGTACTATTCCAAAAGCCACAGATCCAGTCGTTACTGATCATCTTGGTCTGCGTATGGGTTGGAGTGTCAGACGGGTTTCGGCATTTCGCCATCTTCAGTGGGCTAATGGGGCTCATCACCTCATGACCCCTCGCAGACCACAGGGGGGAATCTCACAACATAAAAATTAATATTATACAAAATTCTAACAATAGTTTCAAGCGAGTCTCTAGGTCTATATTTCATCATGGTACCGTCTTAAACATTTACCTAAAAGGCAGCTCAGGTATACTACCTGCAATTTTTTTTTGTTCCACAAAATCAAGGTTTTGGCCCTATGGCAGAAAAGCACTGTCATTTCAAATTTTAAATTCAATATGTCAATCGGGCATAAAAAATTCATTCGAAATTATGCACTTTTTTCTAAAATAAGTATAGAAGAATCAGAAGTGGTTTACCGTTTTTTTTTATTATCAAATTAAATGAAATAGCATATATCTGTTTACAAAAGTGTTAAAGATAATGTTTGATTAAAAACAAACAAAAATCACCAATTTGGTGATCTTATCTTAGATATTTTTGTTCCTTGTATTTATCTTGGTAAAAATTTTAGTTTTTAAAGTAAGCTATTTTTATACCTTCCAAACCTATGTATATTATATATTATGTACAGTATATAATATAATATATGTTACATATATAATTTTTAAAAAATTTCAAAGTGAAAATACTGCCAAATTTTTCATGTCAAATAGTGTAATTTGCGTCGAATTTTTTTCTCACCAAAAACCAATGACTAATTTCCACCCGTTTCTGTCCCATTTCAAATAAATAATTGTGATTCGATGGCGAAAAATGTTCAAATGGCATCATAATGATTCAGTTTATGAGGAAACTAGCGATAACGCCACGGAATGACTTTTGCAAATCGAGTCTGATGCAATGATCGGATTAATGGGAAAATTTCCAAGCTAAGGTCTAAATTCCAGTATCGGAAGGCAGATTACTTAAAAAACAATCGTTATCTAATCGCCGTGGGGGCTCGTCTCATGACTGCTGATGTCAAAAGTGAAGGAAGATAAATGTTTTATCGGAGTCGAAAAAATGTTATGTCATTTTTTTTCTGCTGGCAATCTTATCAGAGGCTGATCAAGGCAATAAAATGATGGATGGAAATTTGTAGTTCGTTTTGAATCAATGGTTCGTTTGAACATGCTCAAAACGTTAAAAGTCCAATAGTCAATATCGATTTAATATATTTCGGTGCTATTGAAAAAAAAAATTGTAAACAGGAAGTATTTTTTTACTATTTTCAATCCTAATTTAATATCTTGTTTTATTTGATTTTTTTAAATGAAAACCCATCTTTCTTGTGCTTGCTATGGTTAAAGTAGTGTTAAATATTATGTAAAAACAAAAGAGATATATTTTTATANATATATCTTCAGAAACAAACTAGAATATTTTTCTCATGTATATTCCTTTTCTTCCTGCACCTTTGTATTTATTAAACCTGAACGATTACACAACTCTTTGAACAATTTCATCAGATTTCATCTAAAGCTTGTTAAAATCAGATATTTTTTTCAACATTTTAACGATGAAAATAAACCGTTTAGACCATGTTTCCAGACATTTATTATTGTCGCATCTACGTATTTGCGAAGACAGTGGCGTCGATGTTGAATAACAAAGTGTAAACAGAGAAAAATCCTAGTGTAAAAAATACAAAACTTTCATCATACGTTTTAGACATAGAAATTTTGCACCTAATTTGAACATTATATTTTTTGACGTCGTAAACGATAAAATGCCACTTTTATAGCTTTCAGAGTTTTGTCGCAAACAAACAACAAATAGATCAACACAAAAATGGCACAATGCCTATCAGAACGACAGTAATCGTTATTAATAAAATGAGTATAAATGGAATTATTAGTGTTGTTTTCAAAAGCTCGTGCAGCCGTTAAAATTTTTCATGGTTCATGGTCAACAATGAATTAAAAATCTAAAGACGACATCAAAAGCGATTATCCTTTCTTCACTGCCAATTATTCACAGACGATTACATAAATACAACCCCACAAAATTCTGAAAAAAACAATTGTGTAAATTTTATCTAGCAATATCCTCATAAAATGTCCCATAATAATGAACTGTCATACACACCGATATTGTTAATGTTGTAAACTGTAAATTTTCCATTAAAANGTGAGAGGGAGAGAGAGAGAGAGACAGAGAGAGACAGCAGATGGCAAGTGTTGGAGGTAGGGTGAGAGAGAGAGAGTAAGCGAGAAGCGAGAAGAGAGAAGAGAGAGAGAGAGAGAGAGAGAGAGAGAGAGAGAGATAGAGAGAGAAAGAGAGAGTGAGTACGTGAGACTGACAAATAGACAGTCAAAGAAAAAGCGGGAGGGAGAGATGGAGAGCTAGTAAGATAGAAATGGTAAGTGCTGGAGAGAGAGAGAGAGTGAGAGAGAGAGAGATGGAAAGAGAGTGACAGACAGACAGAAAGACATACCGACAGACAGCAAAGTGACTAAAGAGACAATGAAAGAGAAAGTGAGTGAGAGAGAGAGAAAGAGGGAGAGAGAAAGATGGAAAGAGAGGAGTAAAAGAGCAAGTATTGGAGGAAGGGAGATGGAGAGACTGACACTGAGAAAGTGAAGGAAAAAAGCGAGAGGGAGAGAGAGAGAGAGAGAGAGAGAGAGAGTGAGAGAGAGTGAGAGAGAGAGCGAGAGACTGTCACATAGATAGTCAAGGAAGAAGCGGGAGGGAGAGATAGAAAGCGAGTATGATGGAAATGGTAAGTGCTGGAGGGGGAGAGAGAGAGAGTGAGAGAGCGGGAGATTGGCACATAGACACTCAAGGAAAAAGCGGGAGGGAGGTATAGAGAGCGAGTGTGATAGAGATAGTGAGTGCTGGAGGGAGAGAGGGAGAGAGAGAGAGAGAGTGAGAGAGTGAGAAAGAGAGAGAGGGAGGGAGAGAGAGAGAGAGAGAGAGAGAGAGAGAGAGTGAGTACGAAAGAGAGAAGGAGTGAAGGAGCAAGTGTTGGAGTGTTGGAGGGAGGGAGGGTGATATGGGAAGAGAGAGAGGGGGAGAGAGAGATAGAGATTGGATTGAGATGGAGAGAGAATGAGAATGAATGAACGATTTATTTTTGATCACCCAAAATTTGGAGTCAAGGACCTCTCTTGTATCTAACGTGAGAAGGGGGAGAAAGAGAAAGAGAGAGAGTTAGAGAGACAGACAGAGTGACAGAGCGAGAGAGGCAGGCAGTCCGAGAAAAAGAGATAAATATATATAATGTGTGAGAGGAATTGGATGTGAAAGGGAAATGCATAAGTAAAGAGAAGAGAGAGAAAATAATGGATTTAGAGAACGGGTAGACAGAAATAAGGACTGACTAACAAAATGCACCAGAGGCACCAGCAAATAAAGAGTTCAAAGAAATCAGAAACAGAATATTTGTTAAAAATTGAAAAGGAAACAAATTTTATATGGGACATGAGTAGAATAATAATTGGAATAGTCAGGATGCATAATTAATAAAAATAAATAATTTAATACGTTATTAGGTAACACATTGTTTCTTGAAATAGACCAAACAAATCATATGATCAAAAATTCATTTTGTCATATTATTTTACATACCATGACAAAGCCGGCTAATATTCGGAAGATATTGATAAAAGGGCCGAAGAAAAAAAAATATCCTAAAAAGAGACCAGAAATCTACAAGAGGAGTAGGGAGACAGAAAAGGAAAGCGGCTGAGTGCGATATCTTTATTATATCCCTTCTCCCAGAACATCTATTCTCCCCCTCTCACTGGCCATAATTTTACTTAAAAGCCTGCAAACCCGAAGCACCCAACATTTCAGGTTTTGCCGTGAAAGCCGAGTGTGTATTAAAAAACTTTTTTTTGCAATAATAAACATTAACATTAAATGGTTAAAGTTAAACACCAATAAAATTTAAATAAAAAAATTACAATGCCTGAATTATTTGGCACAGATGTTTACTGCGTGAACAAGTAAGTTTTACACAATTTTCAATCTCACATGCAATTCTTTAACATCTTAAAAATGTAAAAAAAAATACATATATCATGTCACGATTACAGATTTAAGCTAAATTTATTCCATTAAAATGTTTTTGATTAGGTATTATAAGAAAAGCATATTTCTATTTTACAGAAGTTTGAGTACTGAGGTGAATATTTTTTTTTTATCTTTCCAGCTCCCTCAATGGAGCCCTTTGGCAGAATATCGGCAAAAGGAGGGTTGATTTATTCTCCCAAAGGACACGCAAGTTGACAGTAAAACAGTTGCCAGAAAAGGTAAGTAAATTATGTTGAATCGAAAGCATTCCAATAAAATGCAATAAAAATGTTTATATTCCATATGACTACACATCAAATATGCTTTTGTCTTTAATATTTAAATTACAATAAATACTAGGAAAATAATTAAAATATTAATAATCGATATCATCAGAAAAAAATCATAAAATGAAACCAACAAAGTACAAGTGTAAATGATATTCTTGTACTTTGAGCCACTTAGTCAAAAATGATTTATTGCCCTTTTCAAGATTGATTAAAGATTAATTTCTTATCATTTTATAATCTTCAAAATCAACAGATATAACGCCAAAATTTAATCAGTTAATTCTAATTATTAGTTTTTTTTTAATGTACTGACAATTCACAATTTATTGTATTTTTAGCTGCGTAGTTTTGTGGAAGAATCCGTCAAACTCTGCCAACCAGAAGATGTACATGTGGTCGATGGGAGTGACATCGAAAACAAACTGTTGCTCGACAAGCTCGTCTATGAAAAAACGCTTGTACCACTGGCTGGCATGAAAAATTGGTATGTTGCAAAAAAATTTCTTTAGAACTTTAGAAAATTCTTTATCATTTTTAATTGTACTTAAAGGTTCTTAGAAGTTAGAGATGATTTACCAGTTATAATAATTTTAACGAATTGTGTATATAGAAAACTAATAAATACAGCATTCCAAAAATTTGATTTTTTTAAAGCTTGATTATTTTATTTTATTAACACGTTTTAATTATTGTTACTTTAGCTACTTGGCAAAAACAGACCCTCGAGATGTTGCAAGAGTCGAATCGAAAACGTTCATCTGCACTAAGAAGAAAGAAGACACAATTCCAACACCATCCCAAGGGGTCAAAGGGATGCTTGGAAACTGGCAATCGCCGGAGGAAATGGACAAGGCTTTGAAGGAGAGATTCCCAGGATGCATGAAAGGAAAGATCATGTATGTTGTACCATTCAGCATGGGCCCTGTTGGCGGTCCTTTGTCAAAACTCTGCCTCCAACTCACCGATTCGCCGTACGTCGTCGCGAGCATGAAGATTATGACGAGAATGGGAGAACAAGCGTTCGAATTAATGAAGCTACAGAATGGAGAAGGAGTTGTCAGGGCATTGCACTCTGTTGGGACAAAATCGGAAAAACCATCCTGGCCTTGTGATCCAGAAAACACAATTATCATGCACAGGTGATATATTAATCTGCTTTATGCAATCCTTTAACATTTTAATATATTTATGCTTATATAAATTATTTTCCCAGGCCTGAAGATAATTTTATAGCAAGTTATGGCAGTGGTTATGGAGGAAACTCTCTTTTAGGTAAAAAATGTCTCGCTCTTAGGATAGGATCAACAATAGCAAGGAGAGAAGGATGGCTTGCAGAACACATGCTGGTGAGATATAACTGTCCTTTAAACTTAATTATCCTAAGTTGTTTTTTACGCTTATAACTTAAATTTGTTTTCTAATAGATCTTAGGCATTAAAGCTCCTCACAGGCCAAAGAGATATATATGCGCAGCTTTCCCTAGCGCATGTGGCAAGACTAATCTTGCTATGTTACAACCATCAATACCAGGATACACAGTCGAATGCGTCGGGGATGACATCGCTTGGATAAAATACAATGAAAAAACCGGAATGTTTCATGCGTTGAATCCGGAAAATGGGTTTTTCGGAGTTGCACCCGGAACATCGTGGAAGACGAATCCAAATGCCATGGCGTCTATGCAGGAGAATTCCATTTTCACAAATGTAGGCGAGACATCCGATGGAAAAGTGTGGTGGGAAGGTATGGACCCGCTTCCTAAGGATGTCACCATGAAAACATGGCTCGATGAGACTTACGACGGCACCAAACTTGCAGCACATCCAAACTCAAGGTAATAGCATTAATAACCGATAAAATTGTTATTTCTTTTTTTTATCAAGCTCATTACAATTATGTAAAAGTGTAGAAAGAAAGATTTTAATCCTAAGAAGAAAGATTTTAAACCTAATCAAATTAGTGCTTACGGTAAAAATAGTAATAGACTCTAATACTTATACAAATTCTAATTCTATTTTAGATTCACTTGCCCAGCTAAGCAGTGTCCAATAATTGATTCTAAATGGGAAGATCCTGAGGGTGTGCCCATTAGTGCTTTCCTTTTTGGCGGAAGACGTCCTGAGGGTGTACCACTCATATATGAGGCATTCGATTGGCAACATGGTGTATTTGTCGGTGCTTCGATGAGGTCTGAAGCAACAGCTGCCGCTGAACACAAAGTGAAGCAGATAATGCACGATCCGTTCGCAATGAGGCCGTTTTTCGGCTACAACTTTGGCCAATACCTCAAACACTGGCTCTCGATGGAGAAAAACACGAATAAAATGCCGAAAATATTCCACGTCAATTGGTTCAGAAAATCAAAGGATGGCAAATTCCTTTGGCCCGGATTCGGTGAGAACGTCAGGGTTTTAGACTGGATTTTGCAACGGGTTGATGAAAAATGTGACGACATCGCGGATAAGACTCCAATCGGCTATGTACCAAAACCGAACTCAATTGATGTCGAAGGTCTAGATCCGAAGCCCGATATGAACGAGCTATTATCAGTACCATTAGACTTCTGGCAGAAAGAGGTTCGTACAGTTAATAATTCCTTGGGCAAATAATAATTCCAAATCATACAGATTTAATTTTTACAATTTTCTTTTTCTTTTTAGGTGACTGAAGTTGAAAAATACTTCAATGAACAAATCAATAAAGATCTGCCAGAAGAAATCTGTGTCGAATTGGAAGGACTTAAAAAACGTCTTAATAAAAAATGAAATGTGAATTTTTTTATCAATAATGTTTAACAAAATTTTTTAAGGACTGTTTATTTTTATTTTTGTAAATATATGTGTTATCCTATGTTTTATTAAGGCCAACTTGTATTTAAATATTTTTATGTATAATATTTTATTATATTATTTATAACTGAAGTTAGTTTTGATTTTTGACCTTTGATTGTCTTCACCTTAATATTGACTTCTATGCCCAAATTACAAAACCAACCCTGGGGGATAATGTTTTTAATATTTCGGTCTAACAAGAGCTAAGAGACGTCTTTTTTTAAATCAATTATGGATCATAAATTAATATACCAATTTTATTCAGTGTTGTCTCTATAAGTGTGAGATGCCAGCAACAGGCTTAGATTTTGATCATCAAGAAGCTATCTCACACATATGAGCCAAGAATAACATTCCACAACAATTAATTTGTTATTCACAGAGTCAATTTTTTGAGAGTTTATGTGCTGAAAAATAAGGTATAAATAAATTATTTAAATCCAAAAATTGCAGGTACCCCCTCCCAATGATAACTGCAACCTAAGAGTAAAAACACCAAACAATTTATTAATGTTAATATGCCAGCAAGCTTTGTGTTGTAAAAAGTATTGTCTGGTAATCTGGGGCAATATAATACAACTGGATCTGATATTTATGACTAACCGAGAGCAACTCTCCAAAAGCTCACTCCTTAATGTAATGGAATAGCTCTTTATATTTCTTTTCTTTTATATTCTTTCTCTTTTTTCTTTTTTTAAAATAATTCTTTATCTTCCAAATTTAAAGTGTTTAATGCGGTTTGCTGTTCCATTCTCACATATGGATGTCAAGTTTGGGGTTTTCAACCTTATGATCAGTTGGAAAAATCATTGAGATATTTCATCAAGCAGTTGTTTGACTTGCCTTCTTGTACTCCAAATTACATGCTATATTTAGAAACCCGTGTTGATCCCTTATTTCTGCACACGTTAAAGCTCCATTTTAAATATGTATACAAAACCCTAAAACTCCCTGGTCACCGTTACATGAAAATTACAGCTCAGGAAATAATAAATAAAAATATTTTCTGGTATGAGTACTGGAGTTCCTTGTCAGATAGATATAATCCTTCTTTCCGATTCTCTCGAGACAACATTTCTGAATGGATGACAGAATTCCAGTGCATTCTTTCCAATATAAGGTCTAGCGATAACAAGAGGTTTTTTAGAGCGAACACTGACAACAGAGAGGTTTCTTTTGTACAAGAGGCTTGACCGAAATGATGTTCTGCTTGACAAATGAGAAACATGGAAGAACACTAAAACTGAGGGATCTCCGCTGGCTCTTCAAACTCCAAGGAGAACTTCTGTTTCTTAACTCTACCCCCTTGAGAGACTGCCAGAGGGATACAGAAATGTGCTCTCTGTGCAATACAAGGGAAAAGGAAACCATCGTGCACTTTTAGGCTAAATGTACTATTTCGTCCGAGATGCATCCTTCTTATTTGGGTAGTTCTGTGCTCTCCGAAGAAAGCCTTGTCAAACTTTTAAATGAGCCAAGCCTGCAGCTAATAAAATTCGCTCCTCACACCTGGTTTTATCGCTGGGAACTAGTACAAGAGTTCAATTTTTGATTTGTTAGAAGAAATTTTTACTTAATTAATGGTATATAAATCTATCTTGTTTTATGTTCACCAGATTATTTTATTTTATTATTATTGTTGATTTATATTTTTTAATTAATTAATTAATTTTTGTTGTTTTTGTTTTCTTTTTTTTTTCAAATATGTTATAAAACACAGGGAATGTTATTATATTTTACTGGCTATTTTATTATCTTTTTTAAATATTTTATCAGTAATCTCGACTCCTAGCAGATGGATATTGCGTTGCTGTAAATACTTATGTTCTTTTTTTAAAGTGTATATTTTGTTATTTATAATAATTGTCAAATAAAGTATTATTATTATTCCATTACTCCTTAAAGAGTAAAGTTAAAGTTGAGATTTGTAGATAAATAGTAACTAATTATAAGACTGTATAATACCCCAGGCATGAAACATGCAAAGAGATTCATATAAGGGCCATCCGTAAAACTTACAAAGGAATTACTAGATTTTGGTAGGACTTTTGACAGGGTATTGCCACCTAAGAAGACACATGTGCCGGGTAAGGGTACAAATGAAGAAACTCTGTGCAGATACTGCCAAGAAGAGCTGGAGATCGCAGAACACATTTTCTGTTTTTGTGAAGGTCTTTCTAGGTGCAAATTCTTGCAACTAAGAAGGGAAAAGCCACAAGCAAGATCCTACACTAAGAAGCTACTGGCAAGAGTATAAAGGTTGATTAACTCTGAAACTGGTCAGAGAGTTATAAAAAAAATACAATTTAAAAAACTAATAAAATAAATAAATTAATTAAAAAGAATAAACAGAGGAACAGAATAGATCTATTCAGATCAAGGTGCAGAAGGCCATTTAGCCCTATCCCTATCCTTTAATATAGAAAGAATGAGGAACTAATCATAAAAGATAATTTTTTAATAATAGAAATAAGATTCATAAACAGTGTAGTGCATTTTTGTTTGTGTGTTTGCAAAAGAAAAACAATGAACCAAATTTTTCAATTAATTAATCTTTATGATAGGTATTGGTTGAGATAAAAAAGCCAGTGCCACGAGCGGGATTCGAACCAATGACTTTCGGCTAAATACACCGCTGCTCTATTATTACTTACTTATTCTTAGTATTCTCCTGAGTGGATTTTGAACTAACAGTTCAGCTAAAATTATTATAAGATTCCTTATTTGAATAGTGATAATAATCTTTTGTTTAAAAAACAAATGCTATAATCACATTCAAACTCACCATTACAAGCACACATTCCATATCGCAGATTAATTTCCAAGATTGGAAATAAAAGTTTTTCAGTTGTTATCAAGAATAAATGGAAAATTATTTCAGAGCCCCTTTTGGCATTGTTTTACCCATGGTGCATTGAAAAATGCGCCACCCTATTATACTATGAAAAAGTGCACTCACCAAGCAAATTAGCAAAAAATTGCAAAATTTTCGAAAGGAGAAAAAACTTTTTTCACGAGACTTGAGATTAGTTTTTAAGTAAGAACCCTCTAGTGAAACAGAAAAGTGAGGATGCCCAACAATGCATACACATGTGAATTAGCAATCCCAGAAAAGAGTCACTTCTCTCATGCATATAAATGACAATTTGTCGTTAATTGTTGCCAAAGCCCGCATAAGTGTCTCGAATGCAGAGAAAGGTTGCTCAACGTATCCCACCTAATTGAAAGTTTCAATTCCCTGGCTTCATACAGAGAACGAGCAGGAATGCCACCCGATTTAAAAATTGTGCTTGAACATTTGAGTATTTGGGTCCCCTGTTCCAATTCTTGGAGGAAATAGAAATAATAGTTATGTATACCGAGCTTGTGTTGAGAGTGAATGTATTTGTTAGCGTGAATGTGAGCAGGTTGATAGCGGAATATCAAGTACACCATCCACCCTCAGTTACATTAGTTGTATAATATGTGTAAAGGTTGTGTTGAAAGTGAAGGTAGTTATTAGCGTGAATGTGTGATGTGAGAGATAGACGAATATCAACTACCCCAATGACCCTCAATTAGGTTAGTTGTATAATATGCATAAAAGATGATAGAGGAACATCAAACTCACCCTAATTGAATGAATGGTATGTAAATAGGAGTGAATGTATTTAAGAATGAACGTGAGAACGAAAGGACTTGGAATTGCATACGTTGGGTAGTTTATTGACCTAGCTTTTGACAGCAAACCCCTCCCCCCCGAGCCCAACCACTGTCGCCGGCTATTAATTGTAATTAGTTTGTCTATTAAATGACATTTCATAAAACATAATTCGTATTAGAATAAAATCCAATAGGTATTTTCAAAAAATTTGTTTTTGGTTATATGAATCATAAACATAAATTTTCCATTTTCTCGATTCCCACGTGGACCATGGGTGAAGGCTTAAAGAACAAAAATAGATACATATAGTTTTTTTCTAAAAGATTGATTCTACTCACAAATTTGTTGTTTACAGCGATCAGGACTTAAAGCTCATCATCGGGTTGAAAAGAGTTAAAAGCACGTCACTCGAAATTAGTAAGTGTGAACCCGCCGATCCTCATAGGGTTTACCAACTTAATTGTAATGATTGCTATATTAAATAGCGGCAAAGAAATTAAAACGAAAGTTAAAAAAACATTTGCATAAATTGAACAAATTTTCTGTATTGAAATATTAAATGAAGCAAAATACAACTTCAATTTAAATTTAAATACAAACGTGTTATACAGTTGCAACAAATGGCGGAAACTAGGTTGGTTGAAATTTGAAATGAAAAAATGTAAAATTGAAATGCATAAATATATAATAGATTTTGGTTCGATGTAATAATTGACGTACAAATTAATTTTGTCCCTAATTTAAAATTATTTTCTTACAGTATTTATTAAGATAATATTTAATTGTGATCACGTTTTTCGCAAGTGAAAATTGAGCGCCAATAAAAACCATCTGCTCATTGGAAGTTGGCTGTGGATTGGCGGGTCCGCTCAGTTCATGTCGAGAACGTGCTTGTAACTCCTTTATCCTGATGATGAGCATTAATTTGCGAAAACCGGATTTTTAAAAACAACAAATCCGTGAGTACAACCATATTTACAAATTCACTAGTTTTCGTGGTCCGCTTGACCAATTAATATATTTCAATTAATTAAGATTTTTAGTTGAGATAAAACATATACAAATGTACATATTTACAAAGATTAAATCTACATAATCCACCTCTAATAGACGCATTTTGTCTAATATAATTTAGAAAAGAAAAAATGCATACACTAATCTATTTTTTTAAAATATTTTTTTTATCGGCAAACAACCACTAGGGTTAAAGCTGTCTAAATTTCATTACATTTATACATACATAAAATAATTTACACAAAAATTAAATTAAGCTTATCAATCCAGTCTGACGGAAGAATTCAATCGGTCTATCTCTCTCTCTCTCTCTCTCGACCCCCAGAATTTCCCATAAGCTATGCGTCAAATCATATTTGTCTCGTAGAGGCGCATATTTTCTACAGAACACAAGCGAATGCTTTACAGTTACCACCTCTCCGCACGTCAAGCATTGAGGTGGTTCCCTCGCCATCAGGTCCCATGTGTAATCCTACAATTCACAACTTGCCAAGTACTGTTTTTCCTTTCTGTATTTTTGGATTGCTGTTTTCCATTGTCTAGTATTATAAACTTTAACAATCAAAAATTGAAGGGGAAAATATAGAAAAACAAATTATTGATAAAATCAATTTATTTGTAAAATGTGTTTTATACGGGAAAACTAATAAACGTATATACAACATGGAGATCATAAATTATATCATTATTATTAACATTTAACAAATTAATAATATTATCATAACCTAAACATTTAATGACCTGATAAATTTAACATCTCAAAATGGACATACGTTTACATTTGTTTTATTAAAATCTCTTTTTAAAAAAATCTTAATTGGATACTTTTTTTTCAATTTACAGAAATATATACAAGAGTCTATACATAAGAAGCTAAATTTTTGTTATTCTTAATTACACAAAATTTGTACACAGGACAGTTCAATACGAATTTCACTACATATTGGAAACACTAAACCAAATTTTACAATCCCTGAGGAACGTGGACAGGAAGAAGGATAGTGAGACCAAATTTATTTTTAATTTAAACATTCTGATGTCATAGTTCTCTTCATAAGTGCGATAGCTATAAAGACAAACAAATGATCGCATTTTTGTTCTTCACGTTTTTATTATATATAATAAATGCATTTTGCATAAAATTATATTTCCAAAATATGCTTTTGAAAAAAATATTATGCAATATATAATTTTTTTTCAAAAGCATATTTTGGAAATATAAATTTATGCAAAATGCATTTATGCAATTTATGGGTTTTTTACTGAGCTTGTCCACGTGTTATCCACTTTTCTGAGATTGATTGTAATATTCAGGTAAATTTCTGTACAAATCCTTTTAGGCATTATTCTTGTTTTAATCTTTTTTTAAATTAAATTACAAACTGTCTGTTTAAACAAAAGACCAAAAATAATGAGAAGCAACATATATATATAACATATTTACCTAGTATCACATAAAAGTCACTTAGTGAACTGTTATTGTATCACATTGTAAAACTTCTAAAATTAATCTGTGATGTTATTTTATCACATAACTATATATGCTTCCATAAAGGTGCCACTGATAAGACTGCCTTTGAAATAATGTTTGAAAAAAGAAAAATATTCCTTCTTATAGGCAAAAACAGAAAATTCCAAATGCAGAGAGATGTACATAAAAATAAAATATGTTATGGTTAAATATAATTTTCTTAACCAGAAGAAAAACCCAATATTAGTATTGTAACAGAAGGGATATTTTGATACAAATTTAAACTTACCTAGACACAAAATGTAATGAGCAATTTCCCTTTATTATTATTTTTTTAATAAATCAAATTTGCTAAAATAAATATACAATTCTTCAGAAAAATATTTTATAAATGTTTCTATAGAGTGGAAGAATAAATGGCCCCTTATGGATAGAAAAATTCTAATAACTTGTTTTACAGTGATAGCTTTGTTGTAATAAACTATAAACATTTCACTAAGAATTTCTTAATTGCCATATTTAGAAGAAAAGAAACTTCTTAACGTAAATTCAATATATTTTAAAATAAATAACGACGATATTCAATACCTTTTAACTTTACAAAAAAATTTTCATTTTTTCTCCAAATATTCCAAAATAGGCTATCTTAACAGAGGACCCTCAACTTATAATATAAAATACAGTATATATACTGTTCAACATACAGTAATGTTAATTTATTTTACCAATTAATATTGAAATTTTATCAAAAGTACATGGCACATAACAGCATCAGTAGTGAAATCATGACTTTACAATTTTTACAAATACCTTTACATATCTTCTTTTTGTTTTGCCACTTTTTTAAAAAGATTACTGAATCATTTGAAAGTAACGATTTTCTTCTAACAAACTGCTTAAAGAAGAAGTCATGTCATTAATAACCATATTACAATTAGATTGATTGTTTGAGCTTGAAACAACCCAACCCTGGCATTGTTCAACATATTCTAGTGTCCTTTCATATGCTGTTTGTCGCATTTGGTTCGCAGATGTCTGACCAATGACGCACTGCGTGTCTTCTTTTGGGTCTTGGTAGCCACACTGCTGTCCACTGACATACTGGTGCATGTGGTTGCACACAGCTGGGTTGCTACAGTTGCAATGTCTTGCTGCAATCTGATGCACATTGTGGTTCTGAGTAGGCGCAGTTGCTGCAGCTGCAGGGCTATTCATAGGCGGCTGTTGCTGATAACAGTTTGGACTTATTGCGTTGTTTATTTGCATGCCAATACTTGGACTCATTGGCTGCATATTCACAAACGTTGGCTCATTCATTGACTGTGGAGGCATCTAAAACAAACACATTTATTTTAAAATCCACAATTAGGAGGAAATTATAAATTTTTTTCAAGACAATTATAAAATGAGTTTTTATATTTACCTGAGTAACTCTGTGTTGAGGATGCATGGTCGAAAATGGTGTTGGAACAGTACCAGTATTGTAAGACTGTGGGTGGGCATTTCTTGCAGGACTGGTTGGTGGACAGTTCTTAATGGGTGTGTTCCTGCCACAGACCATTCCCCTCGGAGTCAACCGACCACTTCCCACTCCGGGCACAGGTGTCAGCCTTTGCTGAGGCGAGTTTGGCATATCGAACATGCCTCCGCTTGAGTGATTGCTCGTTTCAGCCACTTGATTTAGATACATGACCATGTCGTCGGGTAGAACGAGTTTGCTCTCTAGCATCTCACCTTCACCAACTTCGTCCAGTACAACTTCTTGGTTTGGGTGGTGTGACAGCTCTGAGGGGTTCAGAGGTTGCATAGAGGGCAGAGTTGACTTGGGCCTTGGTGGTGGAGATGTAACTGTGGTACTTTGAATCGGTTCTGACATCCTCCTGCCCTCACCATTATCTTCCCAACCACAATTTTGAGGCTGTTAAAAATAAAAATTATTTTAACCATCATAAAAAAAATTTAATAAATTTTGTATCAATATGAGTTACCTGTACAGCAAGGTTAGAACTAAGTTGGCTGGATCGCCTTGAAGAACCGATAGATATTGGATCATACAAAGAACTATTACTTGGTCTATGGTGTGACATCTGCAAAAATAATTTAAAATCAAAACTTATTTATTATTAAAACAAATTTGGTTGGTAAATATTTTGGAAATACGACAGAATTTAACTTGTCAAATTACTGATAAAAATTTTATGTTACCTGGCTGCTTCGCCTTGATTCACCATCACTTTTCATGCTTCCATAGTATGTTGAAACTGTTGAATTGGAGTCACGTCTCACTTCTACATTTATGGTTTTGTTACCGACTTTTAGGTCTGTGATTCTCTTGTTCAGATCAGTCAAACCAGTCTGAGTATTTCTTCTGTTTACATTATCTAAATAAAAATTATATTAATTTAAAAGAAGTTTTTTTAATATACATATATAATATTCCAAGGTTAATTACTTTGGATGGCTGGTAACGGAGGTAATGTAACAGAAGGTTTATTATGAAGCTGAAGCCTACTGTGATTCCTGTTAATAGGTGGTGGAGGTGCTAGGCCAACAACTGCTTGAAGAGCAATTGGCAAGTCGTAAAGCTAAAAAAAATTAAATTGTTAGTAACTTTTAATGAGGTAGAATAATAAAGTGCATCCTTACATCCATGTCTTGAGCATCATCTGCCCAGTTATCATCAAGACCATGGTTTGTCATATTGCTTATGTTGCTGTCACTGATAGGATCATCACAGAATGTATAAGTATTTGGGACAGCTGACATCGGGCTGCCTTGATGAGCTGGCGAGTTGGTCTCCTGAAAAGTCATTTATGAGTAAAACGTTAATTTAGTTAAATTTGTATTATAGTGAAGTCTTTACCTCAGATTTAATACTAGGACTTGATACACTTGCGGATTTTGTGCTGAGTGGCTCATCACTCCTTGATGGTGAAGCTCCACCATTACCATCTTCAGAGCCCCCGTCACCACTGCCATTCCCTTTGTGTTTTTTATTGGCGTAAAAGTCAGCACCATGAACCGTTTTGACATGCTTCCTAAGCGAACTTGGGTCTGTGTACCGTTTGGTACAGCCAGGTGCTTTGCAAACATATGGTTTCTGTGGGAAGACAAAACCAAACATTTGGAATTATGTTTAAAATTTTTCCGGGTTACATAGTTATATAATAATAATAATTTACAATTATTTTCTTTATATAATGTTAAATTGTAAAATATTTTTACACTTTTTATAATTAATTGGCTAAGCAATTTTAATTTTGTTGTGAGCCTACCATCCCTGATCATTACTGCTTACATACAGTTAAAAGATTTTAAAAAAAAATTCTGGATTTATTTAGACATACACTCGCCTTGATCCACTCCGACATGTTTTATATTTTAATTGATTATACTTTTAATCTAAGGTCTTGGCTGAGTTAAAAAGCAAGTGACACATACGGGATTTGAACTCAACACCTTCTGCTAAACTTGCCGCTGCTGTATCTACTTGAGCTTTTTTTATCTCAACCAAGTCCTTATAAAAGTATTAATTAATATAATTGACATGATAAAATATGACTGCTAAATACATGTATGGATCATATATTCTTACCAGTTCTATCGTCCCCACAATTTTTAAACAAATAAAATATCTAAATTTTGAATCATCCATTACTGAAATTAAAGCTTACCTACTCTCCAATATTCTAGATCAATTGCATGAAACAAAGTTCTAACTATGAATAAGAATCAATCCTTACAAAGTTAAAGTTTTTATTAATCAAGCCTACCTCATTAGAATGCGTTCTGTTTTGATGCTTTGCTCTATCCGAGGCATTGCTAAAAGCCTTGCTGCACCCTGGGTATTCACAAGTGTACGGCTTCTCCCCGGTATGAGACCTTAAATGCGTTTTGAGATTTTCAAGCCGCGAATAAGCCTTTCTGCAGCCCTCAAACTAGACAAAAATCATTGAAAACTCAATTTTGAGTAGACATAAAATTTTGTTGTTGAGAAATAACCTACCGTGCATTTATGAGGCTTTTCTCCGGTATGCCTTCTCATATGTACGACAAGCATGTATTGAGCTTTAAAAGGTTTTTCATCCCTTGAACAATCTTCCCATTGGCAAATAAATGATTTCTTATTTGCATTGATATGGTCGTTGTTAATATGCTAAAAGAAAAACAATTATGATAAGAAATGTAATGTGAGATCTGTAACATAAAATATGATCATCTCAGATCATCCTAGTCTTATTCTTGCTGATTTCATTACTTTAGGAAGACCAGGATAACCAGATATAATAAAAGTACTGAAAATACTAACATTGACAAGATTCCTTTGAGTTGGAAATTGCAAACCGCAATGCTTCCAATGGCAATCGGTGGCCACAAAATCACCAGGTTCAGATTTCATCAAACGGCTTTCATCATCAGTCATCGTCTTTTCAGATTTAATTACTTTCTTGTTTGGCGTTTCCGTATCTACAGTTATTACTTTCTGTTCAGCCTTTTCCTGCAGAAGATTTAATTTTATAATTAAATATAATCCATATATGTTTCACAGTCATTACTGACCAAATTAATTATTTAAATTAATTAGTCTTTTTATCTAAGGTCTTGGTTGAGATGAACAAGTTAGTGTGACGAGCAAGATTCGAATTTTGGCTCAATATGCTGATGTGAGTTATGATAGCGCAAGTGGTTAGAGTAGCGACTTATTGAGCTGAAGTTTGAATCTCGCTCGTAACACTAACTTAACCAAGACCTTGATAAAAACACTAATTAATTAAATATAATATTCAACGTTTATTACCTCTATCTTGTCTTGATGGGGAATTTGATAGGAACCTGGTGGATGAGGGGTCAATGGGGGTAGCAGACCTCCTGATCTGAGCAAATGAGCCTGAATCTGTTGAAGATGCGGTCCCATCCCTGGATGCATGCTCAGTGCTGGACTGAGAGTACCTGCAACAAATTAATTATTAATATAAAAAAAAAAAACTTTCAACGTTTCAATTAAATTAGTAAATACCAGCAGATAAGTGGCCATAGGATCCACTTGCGCTAGAACTCCTTGAAGCATTGACTATTGAGACAAGTGAATTTGGAGAAAACCTAATCATTGAGTTGAGATCGATGTCCGAATAGGGAGAAGCTGAATGAGCTCTCTTCCTTGACTGTCTCGCTGGTCTTGGGCTAGTAATCCTTGATCCTAAATATATTTAAAAAATGACAATTACAACCTGTTAAACAAAATTTAATCATATAAAGTGTACAAACCATCTAAAGAAAATGACAACTCAGCACTTGTTAAAGTTGAAGGTGGCTGTTGGAGGTCAGCTAAAGAACACCCTCTTGAGGCTAAGTAATCAGACGGTAAGCCTAACCCTGAAAAAAAAATATTTATTTTAAAATTTAAATAGTTCAATTGGGCTACTCAAACACAAAAATGTAATAATAATAGGGTAAGATAGGGTAAGGTGAGGGGTTTTTTCCTGCCTATCAAACAATGATCCCATATATTGAATTTCTTGCTGGTACCAACATCCGATCTAAGATCAAAACATATTGTATTGCATTTCCTGCAAAAAATATTGAATCATGTTAAGCTGCTAGAGCGGATAGTTTCTAAGGATGGATAAAACTCAAAATTTTACTAGTGAGTCTTCTTTTTGTCTGCCTTTACTTCAAAACGTGTACAGATATATTGGAAATAAAATTTTTTTCTAATAATAATAGTTCATTTAAAGTAAAAGGGATTATAATAATTATTGCATAATTTAAATAACACAATTAATAATTCACTTTGTGCTAATTTAAATGTATTTAAATAAACACTCTTCAGACCAAATTTACATTTTGATTACAAAACAACTCAGAGAATATCTGAATTTTTTCAGAGAATTAATCTCACTGGTATTTTACAACGAGCAGTTTAATAATTCCATAATTTCTTCAATAAGATTTGAAATGATTTGAAAGTACTTGGCATTGTGAAAAACATATTTTAGTTAAAAATTCCATAAAGTATCTTTTTTTTAAAACCTTCGGTAGTATTATTTTTAATTTTACTTGTAGATTTATTAACAGATGTTCATAGTTCATTTTATAACCTTTTGAATGATTAATAATAATCTCAAAGATCTGTTTTGAAGTTTGGTGAAGGAACTAAGTGTTTTTCCATTCTATCTGAATTTTAAATCAAAATTATAACATTAAAAGCTGATATTAATTATATAAGAGGAATTGTTTACACTTAACGGTTTTATAATTCATCATTTATATTAGATTGTTACTAATTACTTATTTATATAAGTTCTACTCAATGCACAGAATCAAGATTATGACTTCTTGCGACTTTGGCAGTACAGCTGGGGTAAGACCTCAGACTCCATGCAATGTTTAAATCTAAACCCACTCACTTTTAAATAAATTCGTTCACATTTATAGACCATATCAACCCAAATTCATCAATCAATTAGAGAGATGGAGCACTCAATATCTAACTAAACTAATTGAGAGTCAATATTCCAAGTCAGTTTCACACTATACAGTCACACTAATAAATACATCACTCTCACTTTAAAAAATATATGCAGTAATACATCCTTGTTCCCTCCAAAAAACATAACAGGGGTCAAATACTCAAAAACCATTTATTAATAATATTGTAAAATTGTTTATGGTAAAATCCATCGATGTATTAAATAGTCTTATCTTCTCTCATAATGACATTCTTTGTTTATGACTTAACTCTTATCCGTCAGGTCGCTGAAGTTAGGCTCCAGGGGCTGTTAACGACCTCGATGCATCAAGTTTTTAAACCTAGGAACTTCCACAGTCTCTCTCTTTCTTATATATAATTCTTATTTACTTAAAACTCACTAAGTAGGCTGGAGTTCTTGAAAATCTTCCATCACTATTGATATACACTACTTAAATTGAGGTTCAATGGGGTACCAATTATTCTTCTATCAGCTGTCTCACATTCACATTTACTCTAATAAATATATTCACTCCCAATATACACAAAAATGAAATATCTGTAAAGTACTATATACATACAATAAAACCCAAACCTAAAGACTTGCTGTCTAGCTAAGGAACAATTCTCATATTGAGTGGCATTCCTCACACTCTGTGTGAAGCCAAGGAATAAAATCGTTAATTTTCCTTTCATGGTTCTGAGCAACAATTACTATAAATGATTTAGCATTAAAATTCTGATATATTTTATTACTAAAACCAATTAAGGGATAATTAAATTTTGCATTCATAAATTTGATAGAACACAACATATCAACCAGGAGTGATAATCTAAAATAAAATATCAAAGAAAATGGCAAGTCAATCTAAGTGTGGAATTTGGTTGTTAATGATCATTATACCTATCCTTGCTGGTTTGGAGTGTCAGATACGACAGGTAACACCCAAATTACCACCAAAAATGTTAACCAAGCCAAGAATATGGAAGTTTAATTACTTCTTGATTGAAATATCATAAAGTTTATTTATTTTATAAATATAAATTTGTTGATATAACTTCCTCAATGATAACTCTTACTTTGGGTTTAATTATGCCTGTAAACAATAAATAATTTCACAGAAGTAAAATAAAATTATTATTATTACCATGAAGAGAGGCAGCAGGGTTGGTATGTTGCAGAGAAGAATACAGTTCCATGTAGGGGTTGAGTCTATACGGAGAAGTGCTATACTCAGGTGGAGGTGGGGGAGCCAACCTTCCTCTTGATAATAGCACATTCAAATCGCTACCTGCCAATCTGAAAATTAACAAACAAATAGAAATACATTTTAGAAGAGTATATTGACTAGTAGCACTGTGTCATTTAGATAAAGATACCACAGGATCTTTCCATTACTTGTTTATTATCTTGTATAACAAAAAAGTTGACAAGGTTGAATTTTTTACTAAAAAAATCTAAATACCAAAAAAACATCAAAATGTAGAAAACGTTTGTGTATTTGGTTTATCGTGTTTATCTAATTGTCGATTTTACCGTAAAAGACGTCCGGATGAGACGGCTCATGACTTTAAAGGGGCCAACGTCAGGCCAGAACGCTCACATGAGACTTTATGGGCGTTTGTAACAGCAGTAAACTTTATAAGGAAGCTAAAGGTAAAGTGAGGCCGATCCTTTATTGCTCGGCCGGGTCGGTCCCTTTTAGATTTAATTGACACGTCTCCACCGAGCCCCCCCCCTTCCAAGGTTGTCCCTCGGGAACGTTTTCGTATCGACATAATTATCCTCGGAGAATCCTGCTTCGTCGACTCTATCTTGTTTATCTAATCCTGAATAATATCTATGAATGTCTCTGTGTGAGAGGGGGAAAATACTGGTTCCAAATAGGGATAAATTCAATTATGCGGCAGTACGGGCAATCCGAGGTGAATTTGGACCAAACGAGCTTGCAAATTAGAAAGAATTAGAAAGTTATTAAAAATAAAAGAGAAATAATCACGTATTTCGTTTGATAAAAGATGTTCTACTAATCGTGTTGAGCTTGAAGCGTCACTCTAAAAAAATAATAACAGACACAGATGAATATAAAGATGAGGGAGGGAGGGAGGGAGAGAGGGAGAGAGAGAGGGAGAGAGAGAGAGANAGGAAGAGTGAGAGAGAGTGAGAGTGGGAGAGAGATAGAGAGAAAGAGAAAGAGAAAGAGAAAAAAAAGAGAGAGAGAGAGAGAGAGAGAGAGAGAGAGAGAGAGAGAGAGAGAGAGAGACAGATAGATATTGTAAAGATTGAGACATAAATAGAGATATGCAGGAGGGAGATAAATAAGCATACACATAGGGAAGCTGAAGAAAGCATGGTCATACACCAAGAAATAAGCATGGTGGGTGGAAGAGATAGATAAATAGAGAGGGAGAGAGAATAAATATATGTACACAGGCAGATGGGATATAGACGAACAATTTAAACTTGGCAAATTGGAAACAACACAAACACAGAAACGCAAATTAGGTAATCAGTAAGATTGGCAAAAACAACCAAGACTATTTGGCGAAATTATACAGTTTAATCATCTCGGTAATTAATAAGCATTGTAATTTTTGATATTCTAGTTTGCGCGTTTACGCTATTCATTTTGACAAGAAAGCCGAAGGACTTTTTGACTCTTTACGACCAAAATTAGTCTTTTTTTAAAGACTTTTTTTTAACGAGGGTTCGCAACACCAGAGGTTATCTCAACCCTCGGGGTGCCGGTGTTTTGTTATGCAGGGCCGCTGGATTCGAACCCGGGACATTTACCTTACAGTGATGAAGTTAAGTAAAGTTGAAAACTTTAAAGACTATTAAACTTATTTTTATGCACATTTAAGTTCTTTATTTATAACCACTTTTATCCATACCACTCGTGCAATATAAAAGTTTTCTATGCTGGTTTAAATTGTTCTATACGAATACAATTTAATTATGTAAAAAAAAATCATGATAGGTACATTTCTCCGCAAGAAAATGAGAGTGGTTTACTAAAAAGGGTGTTTTTATCAATTTCCCTGTCACAAATGTGTTCAAGATAAGCAGGATGCTCGCAGATTTACCAATTTGCCCTTCCGCGTTAACACGAGAGGCAGGTTAACGACGGCGGCCCTGCTATTAATACAAAGGACGTCGAGTTTCCCCGAATGTATTATCACGGAAGGGGGATAGGCATCACATGTGTTCCATCACTATTTTCGTCCCGACATATTTCCGGCCGGTCGACCCCATCCATCTGTCTTGGTTCACTTAGCCGATATCTTGGGGTTTTTACCACGTCAACGATGACTCGTCAGCAGGGCGAAATGATGTGATTAATGAAAAGCGAAAGAAATTGAAGGGTCGACGTATCTGTCTGTACTGTTCTACACTTAGGATGATTTTAATAATCATTTTTAAGGGCAATTTGTGTTTTACTTATTCATTCAAAGGGGTTTGAACTTTTTGGTTTTGGTTTGTAAAGCTGAAAACAAGTTTAATTTCAACCCCATGTCCAATCAGCCAAGAATCCCTAAAAATTTTTGCCATTCGCCATTTTATATACAATGGAAAGGATACAACCCTTCGACACTTGTCATTTTTAGATAGATAAATTGATTTACATCATTTTCTATTGTTTTGCGGTTCCAAGGCCTGTCTGAAAAATTGCCCTGGTGTTACGAAGTACTCTCTGTTTACCTACTGCCATTCAACTTAACATTATGACCGGCATGGGGCATTACGGACCATTAGTGCGAACAAAAAACGTCCTAAGTACCTGCAAATATAAAATAAGTACCCTTACCGACTGAGAACTCTTATGCAGAAATATTCAAATACAAACCGATCATTGGAATTCATTTAAATCTGTTAAAACATCTGAAGCCAGTTCAGATAATCCATAACGTTTTTAATTACTTTTTAATCGTAGGGCCCGTTTTTCTTTGAGTAATGAATGTTTTTCAACGTAGACCGGATTGTGATTGTAGTACGAAGGGGCGAGGTCGGGGCTGTACACTGAGTGAAAGAGAATGAATAATCCTAGTGAGTGAAAAACGGCTTCTTGTAGTCAATCGGTTGAAAATTTCTGAGGTTTACCTGCCTTTTGAATTCCGTCAAATGGTTTATATATCAACTGGCCAGTGGTGTTGCGGCCACGTTTTCTTTTTGGTAAACTTTTTGTTTTGACAGGCTGGTCTTTCATTGATTTACGCTGAAATCGAATTACTTCCTCCTCAAGATTTTCATGGGATATCGGTATTTTAGATTTTTTCACACTTTAACCACCCCCAGAACCTACAAAATAAGTGATACTTTCTAGAAGAAACAGCTGATTTGAAAAGTCAAGGCATCGTGAACTTTGTGATTTAACTTTGCATTCAAGTTTTTCTTTTTTAAACCAGTAGTCTGAGCCAGCGTGGAACCTTTTAGTTGGGCCAAAAAATGTTTTAAATTCTAGTAAAACTCCCATTTCATCCTACTTATGATGTTGTATCTAGTTGTATTTAGATAGCGGTATTCTAAATAGTAATGATGGTAGAGAGGGATTATTCAGCCAGTAAAGAACTAGATGTTTTTTCATCTCATTTATTCTTTATACATGATGTTTCGGAGCGTTTTGCTCCTTTTTCAAAATGTCTGGAGCAGAATGTTGACAAAACTTGTCAAAATAAAATTTGAAAATCTAAAAAAGCACTAATTTCCTCTATCCATAAGCAATCAGAAGAACCTACTCTTTATGTTAAACGTTTTAAGTTAACTCAAGTATATATATGTGGAATTGAAGATTGTTTTTAGTTATGTGATGCAGTTTTTATTAAAAATAGATTATTTAAATTATTTAATAAACAAAATTTGTTAGACTTGAACACATATAAAACACAAAAGATGCAAATAACGCAAACACTCAGTAATGAACCAAATATTTGTTTTGCAAAAAAGTTTAATAAAAAATATTATATAAATTAAAATGGTCATTAATTTTTATTAAGTGAAACATAATGAACTTATAATTACAATGCAAAATTATGCAAGTTTAATAAGGTGTTGTCTTATTTTCCCCCCTGAAAGGTGATTTACATTCACAATAATCAAAACAAACATAAGCTGCGAGAAAGTGCGTTTTTACGTTAATGCAACAAGTGTTTTCATAATAAAAAAATTAACATCAACCATCAGTTAAAAGCCTGAGGTTCTCTCCTTTTTCCCTTTTCTTACGTCTATCAACAATTTCACGGCGCTGCGGTTATACTAGTACTGTACATCATTTAAGTTTGCAATAACACAAACTGCAAATGATCGAAGCGCCGTGAATGATGACGGATTAAGTGATTTTATATATTATTAGGAATTTAAAGATGAATTGGTTAATCCTAAGCTAACTGCTTTCTGGCTGAATAAACGTTTAAACATTTCTTAATCCTATTATAGATGACTAGAGATGATCTAGATGATTAGAGATGACCGATTTTTACAAAAACTGACTATTGCAATTTTTATCAGTTTATTATTAATAAAATATTAGCCCTTACTATTATTATTTTATTATGGATGGAAGATGGGCAAATCACTCGTTTTCATTTGTTTCCATTTCTTGGAAACAAAATAGTTACTGGCTTTTATAAACAATCTTTTTTAGTTTAGTAAATTCGCTGATTTATTCATGTCACTGACTCATTCTTACAGGGTTTTTTCTCTCCCCCCGCCAGTGTTGAATTCCCATAAAAGTCAAAATTGGAGAAATAGGAGAAAATGTTGCCTTTTTGTATTACTTCTGCATTCGATGTTATTTTACAATCCAGTTTTCCATTGAATAAATTCAGAAGTCAGCAGAATAGTCAATAAAACAGATCAAGTAGACACGCCTGACAAGTACCAATGTGTACATAAAAAAACATGATGGACTTTTTGAAAAAGCAGATAGTTTTATGTCATTTTGGTCTGTCTACCTTCGCATATTTGGCTTGTTGGGTTTGTTTTGGTTTCTCGCATTCTTCAATCTTTAATAATCAATTTGGTTTAAACACACCACCCTTTATGTCAGACAGATCAAAACAACATATCAGTCCAAAAGCTTTAGAAAGGGCCACACTACTCAGACCTCACAATTTTTGCGTAACATATTTGGGAAAAATTGACAGTAGAGTTTGGAGAGGGCTAAGCCAAAATAACTGACCCATTAAACTAATAATAATTCAAAAGAAAAATAATTTTCTCTTCGTCAACCGAAAAATGTTCAATTATCAAAGAAGATTGATAAATATGCCATTAAACATTGTTATTTAATCCATATTAAA